GAGATGAAGTTTTATTCGAAATGAAATGTCAATAGCAAACAATTTTGACAATTTCACACGTTACTTGATATCGAACGATATGATAGGTGGGGCCGATTCTAGTTTGTCTATGAATTAAAAATAAAAAAGTACGGTTGCGTGACATGAGTGAGAAAAGTTTTTATTTGCCGCCATATCGCCAGTCGTAACATGCGGTTCCTGAACACATCATAGAGAGCTTATAATATAATATAATATGTGTGTAGATAAAGCAGTGTATGTAACACTCGTGAGATATTTTTATGAAACTCGCCTGTCGGTTCATTTCATAAACCCTCACTCGTATTTTAATGCCTTTCATTATGTAACAGTCACATAACTACTATATTTTAATATACATGAAAATAGCATCCAAATATAAAAACAATAATGTAGTTTAATATGATTTAAAGTAACATTGTAGAAAAAAAAATCATTTTTGTGGGTCACCCCATTATTGTGCTGATAGCCTCAAGGACAAATAATGCTGGGAAGCAGTAGCCCGATTACGAGTGACGTAGATTCCTTGGAGGCGTCGCGAGCAGCGTTCGGCGCCCCCTAAGACCCTGTTCCCAGCACCATAGGTAAAATTGGCACTGACCACATGTATGTTTATTACACCAAGGGTATATAAGATGTTTCAATTTGTAACCGGAATTCCGACGATAAACAAAATATTTTTGCTTACACAAAAACCTAATACAATTAGCGAAACCTGACTCCTCCCATTGCGGCACATAAAAATGTAGCTAGCTCATAATGACACGCGTCATAAACGAGAGTAATTCAATTTGCGCAAAAACTTAATTGTACCTTCGTCGTTTGATATATGGCGTCGGTCGTAAAATAACGCTCGCCCCAATAGTTTTAACGAGTCGTTTGAAATAATTGTTTAACTGGGGATATGGAAATAACATGAAAGGGATGAAATTTTATGTTTTTGAAAATATGCGGCTAGTTCCGGGTGTTAGTATAGTGTAAAAACAGACACCATTTACATATGGGTCCCTAGCCTTTATAATAGCAGCTTTATTGTCTGTGGTCAAGTAAATATATTGTCTATATCCTGTCAAAATTGAAATTGACCGTAATTACTTTATTTTTTTCAATCCTAGCATAATACGTGGTAATATTTCCTTTATTTTTTTTCCATCCTCTAAGGGTAATATAGTCGTTTTACTTTTCCAAGCGTTCGTTTAATTTATATTTCCTTTGAAAATTATTATTATTGGACGAAGTTAGCACAGTCACGGTAATTCTAACGTTCTTCAAACCGTCAACTACTTGCGTCACCTGTATGACCTTTTTAAACTCAATCCTAAGATAAGGTTTTTTTTTTAATTTGAGATCGATCAAATTCATAAAGTTTATTTTCCCTACAAGCTCATGAGTTATTCAGCAATTTGCATCGAAAAAAAAAACTGTATTTGAAAAGTAATTTGTTTTCAAAAAGAAGCTTCGAAATTAAGAAACTTATTTCACATTCACGAAAAGCCATGAATATTTTTACCACGTATACTTATTCCGATATCTAGTTTTCATTAAACAATAACTAGGAACTAAGATTTCCACAATTTTCTTTAGAGTTTGCAGAATATTCGCTCGATTTAATTTTTAATTTGCCGGCATTCGGTTCAAGAGAGGTTAGCCAGGTGCGGAGTAGGTATTATTTATATACATACCTAGCGGTCGTAATATAGCTATACTGAGAATATATTTTGGAAAGGGATGGTCTACATTGTGCTGTATTAGTCCTTGAACTTTGAATAGTGGGGGTGGATCGTGTTTAGACACGAAGATAAGAATGTAGCAATAATAAATATACAGAATTCAGGTAACACGTATTGAAGAGATAATTGTAGAGAGTGAGTTTAGAAAAACGAAAAGTAGTCAAACTATTAGAAAATTATCATAGTTCAATAACTATTACATAGCCAATAAGTATGAGAATTGCGACGCCAAATTTTATCAACCCAGTGCTCTGCTCTTAAGGCCAGCCCCCGTAGTATGGCTACGGATGTAAGTCGCGACACGCGCGATAAAATTGGAATAAGCGCGTGCTATTGGTTGTCTCTATCAGATCTAATTTAGATAGCCAATAACGCGCGCTTATTTTAATTTTATCGCGCGCGTCGCGACTATCACGCGTAGCCATGCTACGTGGGCTGATGGCGATGTATACACTAGTCAGCGAAGAGCCTTACTCATTTATGCTTCAGCGAGGCGTTAAAGGATTACGCATATATTGCGCGCAAACCTGTGGTTATGTTGGATACATCCAACACAAGAGGAATGCCCCTTTTGGACGCACCACTGTTCCGAATTTGTGGCCTTAAGAAAAAGTAAGTTTATGGGTCGTATTCCAGAAGGCTACTCCATGCTCAAGGCAGGACTTGAGTATTGCAGTGAGCACTGAAAATCATACTCAAGTTTTTGCCATTAGGGTCGTATTTCCAGTGCTTGAAATCATACTCAAGTCTGCTCAAATCCTGACTTGAGCATTGAGTACACTTCTGGAATACGACCCTAAGATAGGAAATGAAACTATTTTTTCAGATATTTATCGATCGCGAAAGCTTACGAACTCGATAAATAAGTTTATGAGTTTATCCATAAAAGTACTGCCACCTTACCTATTTCTGCCTCCAAGCAGTAATGTGAGCATTACTGGGTTCTGGCTTTGAAGGGTAAGGGTGCTGGTGAAATTACTGGCACATGGGAGTTGTCAACGTATGTATCAGGGTGATGGGCGCGGTGGCAGTGCCCCTCTGATCTTTACGATTTAAAGCTTTGAGTGTCACTACAACTGCTATGGACAGGCGTGTCGCTTACCACCAGGCGCATAATTTGTTCGTCTTGTCACTTGGTATCATTAAAAAAAGCTTGCAGGAACTACAAGATTTAAAGAACAAAATGTACATGGCGTATACAAAGTTTAAGCCATAAATAAATTTTATGAAACTTTATATCTGTGGTATTGGATAAATCCATCCTTTACAAACCTCGTGTCGATGGGTGTGGGCGCCAATTCAATTATATACCGCAAGGTGGCTACACTTATTACGCTCCCGGTACAGTTCTAAAGTAAAAGAGAAGATTATACAGAGGGAGGTTATTTCAAAGAACGGACGTCGATTGGTGTTAACGTAGTTTATGCTACCATTCGGGCAACTGGTAGCGTTCAATTGATTTTTACGCTGTAGATTGGTTTTATACGTGGTCGTATTACAGAAATTCACTAAGATAACTTATAACACAAAACGGTAAAGTATAAATCGTTCTAGTTTCTAATATGACCCTATTCTAACGTAATCTGAGTGGGTTGTACACAATTACCTAACTAGAAGCAATATATGTCCAAAAGGTCAATAATCTATAGATTGTAATTTTTAGTTATTGAAAGCCACGGTATTTTACCACCATGATATTCAATTGTTTTTTCAATTCACTAGCTCGGAAAGGCTTTCTTTCTTTTGAAAGCGTTTTTTCAACGCAAGCGTGGAAAAGGTTTCTGAAATTCGAACTTGACGATGGACTGTGGTGCTCCTAACTTTTTCTTTCGATTAAAAAAAAAGATAATGGCACCGTTCAACCACGCGATTTTCGTACATTACTTATTTATGTAATATAAATCCGTTGGTATATTTTATTCTTATTATTGTTGACACTAAATTGACAACGATAACTAATTTTATTTATTAAAACTCATTTCTTATAGTTCAACTGTTTTTCTTTCATATACCATTTTCCTCGCTATAGTGAGGTGAAAAGTTATGTATCGTTTGGAAACCAAGTTTTTTGCGTCTCGTGCGTTGAAACCCTCGCAATGCTCAGGATTCTATTTTTGCTCGCGGTTCAATCTTGGGATCCTTCGCTTGCTTAGGTTTCACCCAAACACGCTTCAAACAACACCTTTGCTAATAACTATTGTCAAATTACCGCACTAGTTTGTTATTATTATTAATACAGAGATATTAAGAGCTCTCATGCCAAAAAAGTGTTGACGCTGGCTCCGCCCAAATTTGTGAAACAAATATATGCCTGAAGTTCGCGTGACATGCGACAGGAGATGTTGAATTTTGCGCATTAAAAGTACCAAATTCGTTTTAGCGGAATAACTCTAAAACTAAAGGGATTAAAAAAAAATCCGTAGTGACAGTTGTCGAGCGTGCATAAATATAATTAATTATCTAATTTTTGTCCTAATAACCTGTAGCATTTCGAGGATAAATCGAAGAAATGTGAAAATTAGAGGTCACTTCGTGATTTTTGTCTATCGAGGAAACTTTATTGTTTTAGGTTTCTGATTAATGTCTATGCTTGAATATATCGTGTAGTTACTCATACAATACTTTATTTTTAACTTTAAAGTGGATATACCCCTCTAAAATCAAATCGAAGACTAGGAATTTTTCCTCTGCTCCCTCTTAATAATTATAAAAAAAATTACAAAGAATTCCTTCGATCCGACTGGATTCGAACCAACGTCTTCCGGCGCCAGCAGCTTCCGTGCCAGACGCTATGCCAACGAAGCCACGGAACGAACTAGCGGGCCCTACGAGTTTTTCTATGTGACTGTTGCAGATCTTTATGTTGGTTTTTTCATTTTTATTTTTAAACTATTGATTTTATTTTTAATCTAGAAATTTCTTCCACCTGAAACCTTCCACCTGAAATCTGAAACCTTCTTCCACCTCGAATCTGTATGCCAAACTAGGGCCACCGCTTTGTCAACTAAGTTACAAATGGAGTCAGCAGATCTGTTTGTTACAGATCTTTTGTATGGGGTTTTTTCGGTTTTTGTCATTTGCGTACATACGTCGATAAAATTTGCGGCATATAGATACAGATTTGAGTTAGTGAGGAAGGATTTTTTCTTTGTGTTTGATATTTGTATTAATAATTACGACAAACTAGCGGAGTAATTTTACAAACATCGTGATATTAAATAAAATCAAAATCTATCATTAAGTTGTTCTTACCTCGTCCTTCCCCTTGACGACGCACATCTTGACGTCATTCTCCGGCGAGTACCATACTAGCCGGCGTTGCTCAGTCAGGTCTGTGAGGCTGAGGTTGTATACCACATTTCTGGAAAAAAAAACATATGTTATGCATCACTGAATTGGTTTAAATTATTGTGGGAAGATAGATAAACCTTTGCGATGTTTTTATGAATGTTAAAATAATGCTAAAATTGTTCTTTGATTTTGAATTGGTACCATTGTTTTGATCAAGAAAATTTTTAGAGCAGACAAATTAACAATGTATTTAGAAAATGGCGAGTTTTCTGAAACATACTTTAAATACTGAATATAAAAGTAAACAAAGTACCCGGCGGCAAAGAAATTGGCTGGGTCAAATATTTCGTACAATCACATTGGTCGACCCATGATTCAGTAAAACATAAGCGAATTCCTCGCGTTCAGTTTAGGCCGGCAACAGACGAGTTCGTAGAATGTTTGTGTAATCGCGCAACTTGCTGGATTTCAGGTGAAGTTTACCGGAATGGCCGTTTGGAGGCATTTTGTTATGTTTCCACGGTGTTGCAGTTGGCTGTAGCAAGTTTACGAAACGCTTTGTGGCTACACGGTTGTTTTGCTAAATAATGACTGTTTTGGTTTAACGTTGTATTGTTACCATGCAACTAGCTTCGTCGTTAGGACTTGAAGAGGATTTGATTAGTACTGGGATTTTATATCGAAGGGTAGATATTTAAAAAGTAAGTCGGTGCAGAAAGTAAGCAAGAAAACGCTACAAAAGAAGTAATTTTCCGTCCAATACTTACTACTAAATTAGAGAAGAATTTTTCTTAGGTATTCCGATGGGATATCATGTTATATATGTTACATCGTGTTACTTTTCGTCATTGGTAAATACTCAAGTCTACAAGTCATGGTTGAAAAATGAATCTGTTAAAAAAACATGACCTCGTATATTAAAAGTGACTGCTCCTTTTGCAGTAGCCGTAGAGCTCCTTGTGAGAGAGTTCGTTCAGGGAAGTACTGCCACCTTACCTATTTCAGCCGCCAGGCAGTAATGTACGCATTAGTACGTTCCGGTTTCGAAGGGCAAGGGTGCTGTTGAAATTACAGGCACATGACACTTCTTAAGTTATGTCTCAAGGTGACGGGCACAGTGGCAGTGCCCCTAAGATCTTTGCGATTTAAAGCTCTGAGTGGCATTGTTAAGGATAGACGTATCGCTTACGACGACACGATTTGTTCGTCCCGTCGCTAGGTATAAAAAAAACCTAGACCATGATTTTTTTCGGATCCAAATTTTGTATATTTGTTGTTTCGAACTAACCAACGTTTCGGGATCTTTACAGGTCCCATGGTCACTGTTACACTCACATGCTGACTGTTAAATAATAGAATGTACAAAAATAGTTTCATTTCCAATTTATACATCATCATTCATTATTTTGTGCTGGCAATCTTACAGCGGGAATGATATGTGTGTTAGTTCTTTTCTTTTACATGACAGGTTGTGGCAGAATATCAACGGCGCTGAGACATACTCCGCCGTTTTGCCGAGCACTCGCTACTATCGTTATTAAGCTCTATGTGTAAAGTGTTTTTATATTTATTTATTGAGGTGTTAAACGATTTTATTATTATTATTTTGGACACCTATTTTAGACTATCGCCTCTTCTATGACCTAAAAGATAAATTTCAAGTAGTTGTCGTTTCTTCTTCTCCAAGTTCCAACTTCTAAAAACCAAGGTTTCAAAAACATATTAATTTTGTTTGATAATTATCATGATAATTAGTGAAATATATTAATTGTGTGATAATTTGATACTTATCCGATAATTATCTGTGCTAATTCACACTTCTGTCGCTTTAATTTCTCACTAAAAATTACAAACGGTGAGGAAACTAAATAAACAAGAAGAAAAATGTTTGGGAAAACGATTTGGTTTGTAACTTTTTTCAGATTGACATTTGGCACGTTTCGATAAGTCTCTGATATAAACACATATTGCAATATCGAGATAATTATGGATAGGTGTGTAGCTTCCCATCAGGCACACGACTTGTTGGTCCCGTCACTTGATATAATAATTTAAAAAAAATTGTCATGGTATATTTACCAAGATAATTATCGTGATCATTATCAATGATAATTATCACTTCGAACCTTGCTAAAATCCTAACGGATCGACTAGTTCAAAGTAAACATTTATATATTTCTACGAAGGCTGTCCGAATTTAGTGCCGATCTCTACAAGCAGATAAGAATGTCAGTAGAGAATATTTCAAGAGGCTTTATAGCGTTGCCTGACAGTAATGGCCGATTAGTCATAGTTAACGACTTAATTCTAGTTAGCTCCAGTTTTGAAACTTATGTTCAAATGATGGTATGTTGTAAATAGCGTTATGTTACGCATAAACTTGCAATTTGGGACTTAAGTACGAGGGATTTTACAGTATAGGCAGGTCTAGTACATACCGTATAGAAAATAACGAAGATTAACTATATAAATTACCATATTTTATCGGCTTAGTACAAGAAGTCATTAAAAGCAAGAAATAAAATAAGTACACTTAAATTCACAGACGAGCTTCGTTCCTATTTTTTCTATAAAATGTAATTTTTTTTAATATTATTTTTACTGTCAAAGTTCATTTCCTAATAAAAAATATTTTTTATTAAATATTTTATCAAGCAGATACGATATGATAATTCTGAAAACTGATTGCTATATTGTTTTTTTTAGAAACTAGTCTGTTGAGGATTGTTAAGTTGGTTTTAAGAAATATTAAATTATAGTGTTTATTAATAATCTCATTAAAACTCAAAATGGTAAAATGTTAATAAATCTGTTTTAAAGCTCTTAAAAAAGGTATTTTATGTTTCCTTTTTGATTTTAGTAAACAATATATTTATCCACAACAGTATTTTTCATTTTGTTATCACAATATTTTTTACGATGTTATGGCCATATTCTTGTAATAAGTCGACAATTTACACTCTTGCAATGCAGCCATTTTTTTTCAATAGTCATATTATGCATTATGGTTTTTAAATCTTAAAGAGCTACTAAACGATGTTTGAATAATGGTCCGCCTATGAATACTTAAACTAAATGGATTTAACACAGGGAATATTATAAAAAATTATATTATAAAAAATATGTAAGAATTTCTTGTAAATCTTTTTTCTTGCAATAAAAGCAAAACACCTTATTCTCACATACCCTTTCTGTACGACTATCAAGCTTTCCAAGTAGGTTGCCATGAATTGTGTCTGAAGTTACAGAACCATTAAACTTGCGGCATACCTGCGCTTTGACGTAATTGCGAAACTCCTCACCCTTAATTAAGATATTTGGCACGAAAATTTCATAAAGAAATTATGGTGTAAACTTTCCCAATTATAAAGGCAAGAATAGCCGGTGTGACTTACGCACTTGTACTGTCGAGTAGAAAAATATAAGTTAGTCCTTTAGTTTTCAACTGCGTAGGTAAAACTTGTTCTAAACTGTGTAAAACGTACACAGTTTTACAGACTCTGGGTCAAGAGCACAGTAAGATTGACACTTAAGATTTAAAGTCAATTATATGTCGTTTGCGATTAGATTGATTCAAAGTGGATAGATTGATGTGTTATTTATTGACTGTACAACATTATAAAAGTAAATGTTTTATTGGAACTTAAAAGAAAATTATATATTTTGTTTATTACATAGGTCAACAAATTACAAGTGAAAAGTATTCAAATTTACAACCTAAAAATCAGTAGGTATTAAAATACAAAAAAACTGTGACGTACAAGAGAATGTGAAAGAAAATCGTTACTTTGGCCACTTTTTAAATTTTGGGTCACGTAAGCCAAATCGCCTTTTATAGATGCATGTGCCACAGGCGAGTGATTCTATAAGTGTGCTGTTTTACAAATTCTTACGAACGAATTCACAGCAGTAGCAATTTTGCAGATAACTCCAGTTCTTCAGCTGATTGTACCAAATGTTTTTGAGATTTAACAGAACAAAGTTATCCCAGTTAGCCGGAACATTATTTGAATTGATATTACAATAGAGTCTGTAACAGGCGATTTGCAAAGTTTTAATAGCTGTTCACTGTTTTGATATGCTTATTAAACTTATTTTTCGATTTTGAACTCGTTTCTCCATTTGCCGTTTAATTTTCTTATATATTACTTTAAATACTACATTATCAACCTATTCGTTATACGGCTTACGCATGGTTGGTTCCCTTATATAGAAATTGGATATTGCTGTAAGTTGAAGTTGTAAGTTGAAGTGTTTCGCGTCTCCGTTGCGCGAACCTGTTTCAGCTTTCTGCTTCCTTCGTCGATAGGAATTAGTTATTTGTTATGCAAGGCTGCAAAGTCGTTGTTTGACGCGAGTGCTTGTATTGAAACCTGAGCAAGCGAAGGAAGCTAAGTGTGAACCGCGAGCGAAGCGTCCAAAAATGATTCCTGAGCGTAGCGAGGGTTTCAAGCCACGAGACGTAAAACAACTTTGCTGGCGAGCGAAACAGACAACTTTTCACCTCACTATAGCGGGGAAAATGGTAGATGAAAGAAAAACAGTTCAACTATAAAAGATCAAATTCGAATTTTAAAAACCTTTTCCACGCCAGCGTGCAAAAAACGCTTTTGCGCGCAGATTTCTAATGAGAAAAAAGCCTTTCCGAGCTAGTGAGGTGAAAAAGATATTTTTCTCTATGCATAGTTTAACATTTAGAAGATACATCATTTTAAATGGCGAAGTATAGTATTTTAAGAAATGTCTACATTGGAGCTCTATATGTACCAGAACATTGGTTCCAAATAGAGTTAATTATTTGGTACAAAGTAGACGGTTTTAATAAGGAACTTTCAGGAGTCGCGCACCCGTAGCACAGACAACCATACAAGTGCGTCATTTTGCGAACAGGACTTACTACAATGAAATAAAGTGCTTGAATAGCGTACTTTTGCGGTCGCCTGCGCATAAAGGGAGGCTAGTTCGTTATGTTGAGGTTCGGAGAGTGGGGAATGCAACTTCGACAACAAATGTGTAGAGGTTCAAGCTCTGCTGAAGTAATCAATTATTTGTAACAAACAAGATTTATGC